TTGGTAAAAAAAAGAATCTGAAGTAGTAGTAGAAGATTTAAATTTAAAACTAAACAAACAGCTAAGTACTTACTATTTTAATTCTAGTTTTTAACTTTCTCTAATCGTAATGCAAAGTAGTAACACAAAGTGATATTCTTAATGAACTTAAAAAAAATTAATACTCTTCCTTTGCATAAAAAAATTAATTCTTGAATAAAGATTGGTTAATTACAGGCATGTAGATTTTTAAAAGACAAATAGAACAATACTTGTTTCTGTACTTGAAACTAAATTGTTATTGTTTTTGTAGTAAAAATTAAATTAAATTAAATTAAATTGTTACTTTCTGTCCGTAAAATTACAATAAATTGGTTTTTTTTCCTGTAATGTTATTAAATAAAGAATTTCCAATCGTCTTCATCATCAACGAATGAGACCTACATTTTCCGAACGCCGCAGTAACAGGGATCGTCTGGGCCGATAAATCGGCCGATGAATCGGCCATTTCTCAAACGATTAATCGGCTAATCGGCCAATCGGCCAAAGTACTAATCGGCCCAACTCTAATAAGAATGCATGTGTAGTAAGTGTAAAGCTGTGTTAGTTATATTTAAAATGTTTGTATATTCATATTGTTGCGTTGTAGTAACATAATGATATATATAGCGTAATAAAACTTTGATTAGTATCTTATTTTGGGTTCTTTGTAGACTATTAAGATTGGTTTTGGCTTCTGATCCTTATATCTCAATTATATATTATATATTAATAATAATATCATTACATACCCAGAAGCAAAGATCTACATCTACACAATGGATGTTTTATGCCTTTTGAGGATTTACAAACCAAAGCGAAGAAGTGAAGACTTAGTTTAATTAAATGCGATGATGCATAGACTGGAAAACAGTAAAACCAAAATTTCTCAACAATTAAGGTAATACTCAAAACTTTCAGTCACACCCACGTAAAATACAAACACATCAGTAATATTGCATTAATATTTCACAACAAATTAAAAAAAAAAAAACAAACAAAAAGTGTCGTAATAGCTTTGTTGCTTCAAACCGTTCGTCATAGTAGCTATAGGCATATAAGATGAAAATCATTTCCTTAGTAAACAACTGTACAGCTGGCTAACAAGAGAACAGCGGCTAAATTAGATCATTACGCATATATCCAGAGTATTACGTTTCATGTCTTTGTACTGAAAGATCTACAGTCTTGGCAATATTTATATGTATATAACATCTGACTTTATGCGTCACATCTTATAACAATAATTAATTATATTGGAAATATAGGTAACATGAACAGAATTTATTACTGGGACTGTGTTAAAATTTAACTCTTTTATTTGATATTTCAATGTGAAGTGGGTTCACAACCTATCCAATAATAAATAATCTCAATGACTTACCTAACCTCTACAAGTCGAAATCATGCAGGTTGTACGTGCAAAATACTTTAATTTTTAGGGATTATTATATTATACAAAAAAAAAAACAGGATAATGTTTCTTCTTTGCTCCCGTACTCAATGAGACTGTGATATTCTCATTAAGTCAATTCTTTTGGGCTCTACACTCTATTGTGGAAAGTCAGAATGTGTACAAAAATGCACATATGGCAATTCACAATGCTGTGTTAGTCTCTACTTTAACGTATGGTAGTGAAAGTTCGGTGTTGCTAAAGAAGCACGAGAGTAAAATAAACGCAGTAGAAACGCGAAAAGGAGTACGTTGAGGCTGAATCTGAGTGAGAGGGTGAGAAATTGTGTGATAAGAGAAGAGTGTGGTTTGCAAGATGACGTTGTGACCGGATAAAGAAAGGAATGCTTCGGTGGTTTGGTCATATAGAAAGAATTTATGAGGAAAGAGCGACAAAGCAAATTTATATTGAAAAAGTGAACGGCAGTCGGAAAGAGACGTCCTAGGCGAAAGTTTATCGACCAAATTGGCGATATATCGAAAATGGGCCAAATTAAGAGTACCTTTAAACTGACGAACATGTACGCGTAGGACGGATGTGGAGACGCGAGAGAGGTGTGTCAGTATCGTGCTAAATAGAATTCTGTGGTCTCTGTCTACCTCTCTGGGTGATGTTGATGCATGTTTATATTTATGTATGTATGTCAATTCTTTTATTTACGTGCCACCTATAACGACTTAGTACACAGTTGCTAGTTATTTTGTACTTACCACCTGCTCTTTGATATCCAAATTTAAGTTTAATATTGATTATTGATGTTTCAGCTTGTCATTAATAAATAAACTTTTCAAGAAAAGAATCAGTTTTAAAGAAACACTTTAAAGACCATAACTACAATTAGAAGAAAACATAACTTTGAATAAGCACACGCTAATTTAAGATTAAATGAAGAGAATCCTGTATCCAGTAGCGGCAAATTTGTAGACATACGCATGTTCAGCACAATGTCAACGGTGCTGAACACACTATAGAATACGTGTCTGCATATTATTCAATCATACTATAAAACTGTATCGGAAAACAGAAATTCTACGAAAATTATTTCTTAGTTACGTAATAAATATAATATTGATATGTTACAATATAGTTTAAAAAAAATGTATCGATAATATAATTCCAAAACCTGTTCAACCAAAAAAAAATCTCAATACTTCGTCGAAAAGCAAAGTCAACACTGTGTAAAGCATAACTGTCTGCAAATTACTTTATACATCGCCGTGTGGTGGTGGTGGGTGGTAAGAAGCTGCAGAGGGATAATGAAACAGGGCGCATCTTCCTATAACAGCTGAAAGTAAACAATAACTGCGATTGCAAACCCGCCGGCCAAATGTGGCAACTGTGCTTAATATCGCTATGAGGCAATCTCTGGAGGATGCTTGTGTTTAGTAGTGGGCCTTAGATAGATTGTAATGGATAAAAAAAAGGTAAGTAGTTGATAAAAACGAATAGTGTTACCGTATTTGTATTGTATTAAGTTGCCGTTTACTAATACTGGCTAATTTGATGTTCGATATTAACTTGACTTGTTATTCCAAAGTTTTTAATTAATAAAAACCGTGTAATGGCGGTGAAAGAATATCCACTACCATATACTATCCCATGGATGTAGTAAGAAGCGACAGAGGGAAACCAATCAGGAGCTGGGCAGAAGCGTCTTACTAATTATAAACAAAAATATAAAACTGCGGTTGCAAACCCGCTTGCCAATCGTGGCAACTATGCCAAATATATATACTCCCCATAAGAGGTAATTTATGGGAGAGGCATACGTTCAGCAGTTGATAGGTCGTAACGGTTACGGAAGAAGAATAAAAATTACAGCATTGGTATACTGCAAAGAATAACAAACGAGGACTGACAATGTCACTATCAAACAACCGAGTCTTGTTTATAAACTGCCCTCGAAAAACGAAAATGCTGGCATTACACACTGCGCAAAACTATATACTACAGGACCGTGGGCTGGAAATTATTTTTATCATCTACAGTATTCGCAGCCGGGCCTTACTTATACGGATATCCATATGCTTATACTTTTATTGGAATTCGGTAAAAAACTTAAAATATTTTCCCCAAAACAATAGTTTTAATAAAATTTGCTGAACAGCGCCATCTATCAACTAAAACTTTCAACAGATACAAGTGATGTAAAGATAAAAAGGCGCCATCTACTGGATGGATGTAAGTTTCAATTTTATGCCACAGATGGCAGCGTGGGATGGCAAAAGCCATGATGTTAATAAAAAAAGAGGCAGCACAAATACTCAATAATAAAGATTGTCATGTTTTATTACTTATACGTTTTAAATTATATGAATATACTTTAGCAGGTATATGTAAGTATATCAAATACTAAATCGTAAGCAGTAGCAAAGAACATGTTTTGCTATAAATTACCATTTGAAATTGGAACCACTAACGTATTTTATATCCTCAAGATATTGTTTAACACATTACTTATATGTAATCAATAAAATCCGAACCAAATTAAAATAATTATTCATTTATATTGATCACTGGATGGTGTTATGTTATAGGTGAATTTTAAGTATATTTTATACATATTATTTATTCGTTATTTAAACCAAAATTTTATTACACTGCAAAATTTGATATTTCCGTATTTAAAATCCATAGGTACGTCCAATTGTTAAACAAAGAAATGCGAAACTAATATCCAATAATCCATAAGTATTTTACTCTTACAATCAGTTTTCACTGAATAATAATTGACAGGGAGGTTGCAGTCAGGAGGATATATTAAATACAAATGGCTTTGATGCAAAACAACAATTGTTGTACACCCATACAGTCGTAAGCTTCAATAAAAATGTTTGTTGTAATGCTTATGTTTTAAGATCGCAAGTAAGCAAGGTTGCAGTGTGAGAAATAAGAGAGTATTCTCCATGAAACTAGTTTCGAAAACCAATGTCGACTACTCCGCTCTAACTTAGGTGTAAGATTGCAACGATGTTCAGGGAGATAGATATGTTAGAGTTGTCGGCCGACCGTGAATATCGATTACACCTGAATCTTAACTATCGATATTTTTATTGTTATTGCAACATTGCAGATACAATTTCAACGATATTGCCATAAATATTATCGACACGCTGAAATAAATGTAAGGGTCAACCTAACTTTTTCAAAATTACCATTAGTTACTTGTCGGTGCCTATTTTCAAAAACAGTAGCTACAGTCACACAGACGTAACGTTACGGCAAGAAGCTGAGCAAATAATAATATAATAATGAGTAACAACAGCCTGTCAAATAATTATAATGAAATATAAGATTTTCTTTTGATTGTGTTTAAAAGAATCAATACGATGACAGACAGAAATAGTAATAAATGTGTGTGTAAACACATGCCCGATGATTACTGTGAAATAAAACTTACTCGTTAATAATCATTTGCCCAGTTTTGAGTGTAGGTATAGGTACTTATCGTCATTTACTGATTATTTATTATTTACTTTACTTGATTTTTTATTATTTACTGATTACATCGAATAATATAAAATTTACCTTTGGTGGTGGTCAATGTGTTAGGCCTCTGCGCTGGTGCACGGTGCGGTGGGGGCTTCCTAGGTGATGGGGGAGGAGCGAGAGAAGTCCGCGCTCGCACCGCCATCGGTGATGACGATAGTTTCTGCACCACACCATTTTTCTTGGCTGAAACGTATAAAATAGAATTAATTATATATTCATCATCATTCACATAACATTAAAATTCCGTGGGTGTCGTAAGAGCCAACAAAGGGAAACAAATCAGAAGATGGGCAGCAACGTCTCCTTAATAACGAATAAATACAAAAAGACTGTGGTAGCCAAGCAGCTTGCCACGCGTGGCAACTAAGTCAAATATCCCCCTATGAGGCTACCTATGAGGGAGGAGTTCAGCAGTGGACTTCAACAGGTTGTAACGGTAAGAGTAACGTTAAATAACGTATTTGGTTAATTTCAAGTGACAATTCTATTCCTTTCGGGATTCGTAAACTGTGCGAGATTTATTATAAATTGTAAAGTTACAAATATCAACGCAAACTCAATAAAGACTCACTCTTCTTCATCTGCCCGTGGCTGATGATAGAGCCTGATAGATAGGCGCCGTGTTTAAATAAAGAACAATCACAATCACATTTAAATAATAATTTTTAGTGAGTTTTCATATTTTAGCATAGAAAAAATATGCTTAATCCAAAGCTTAAGCTGAGATTCGAATCTAAGACTCATGACGTCATGACCCAGCAGACAGACGCACTTGCAAGTCATGCGATTGCCAAACATCAAAATGAACATTAGGTACCTATATTATACATTAAAATAAGTTATGGTTAATATGGAATGTGCAAACAGGCACATTCTATAAGAAGTCATTAGCTATTTGTATCAATAGCCTCGAAGGAAATATGAACCTGTCATACTCAATATGAACTTGTTATATTCGATATACATACATATAGCAGTGCGACTAAAACGAAACACAAAACGGGAATATTTTATATCTTTATTTATTTATTTACTCGCTCTATATTGGCTATCAAATACGGACAAAAGAACCTAATGCAATATGCACGCTATGCCAGTTAGGTAACACATATAAACGCGATGGCGGTATAAAGGTACAAAAAATTAGGCGTTCTTTAGATGTGACAAAAATTTTGAGATCATACGTAAATATTGTTAATACTAACATATAGTTTTTTTTTACCGTTTTGTAACTTTACGATATTATTAGTCTGTAAGCCTTCATAAAAGAGTAAATAAATAAATATGGATACATTTACAACATAATATATTATATGCTTATACTACTTGTGCTTGTACTATAGTCTATTCTATGCTTATACCTACATCATAGCTGTGAACAATCATCATCATGAAGTGATCTTACTCCAAATGAGAATTTTTATTTCACTGAATTGACAACTTTATTGCTGTTTTTCGGTATGTAACGTACGTAATGTTACTTAATATTAAGTACGTACCATGCAGGCTTTAATAGAAAATAAGATTAACATTATTTTAAAGAATACTGAAAATGGTTTTAACACAACTATTATTTCCGTTAATTATTATTGCAACTAATTAACTGAACGTGTTAGAGCTCTGCTGCAGTTATATTAGTAGTAAAGTTGTAGTACGAATGGGTCGGCTCGACCGAGGAAGGACCACGCTCTCACAGAATACCAGCGTCAAATGCTGCTGTGTTTCGTATGGTGAGTGTAGAGAGCTGGAGACCCTTTTTACTGGAAAAGAGGCATTCCATCTTAGACCTCACGGGTGACAACTGACAACGCATCTGCATTTGGATTCGTAATCGAGGATAGATGTTGATGTCTATGGGCCACAGCAACCACTTACCCACATCATTGGCCACATCAGGTGGACTGTGTGCACATTTGTCACCCTATCCTATAAAAAAAAACTAAGCATAACATGCTTCTGCTAGGAGTATCTTGCGAGTAAGTTACCAGGGAATACCAGCGTTAAATAGCAGCTCAATGCTACTATGTTTCGTATGGTGAGTGTAGAAAACCGGAGACCCTTTTTATTAGAAACGAGGCATTCCATCATAGTCTTCAGGGATGACAACGCATCTGCATTTTGATTATTATGGGCCACGGCATCCACTTACCATCAGATGGGCTGTGTGCTCGCTTGTCACCCATACTCTATAAAAAAGATGTCATAACAGTCTCTCAAAAAACAGAAAAAAAAAACATTTTTCTGTATTCTGAACGCAGTCCATACCCTTAACAATCTGGCTTCTAAATAGATGCAATAAAAAGAATACACAAAAATAAATAAATAACACTTATATATTTATCTACATCGTCATTTACCCAACTCTAGGTAATTTACTAACATTTTAGTTTAATTACATTTGCATGTAAGAGATTAAAATCATTTAAAAGTGGCTTTTGGCGGAAAATTTCGAACTGGTTTTAAAACAGCATTGTTATAGTCACAAAGGTTTGTGGGAACTTGATACAATTAAAAGCGATATATCGTGTTGCACATGTAGTCTGATATAAAACGCCTATTACCTATTATGCAGCGTGGTAGAGAAAGTGAGAAGCTATAGACGGTTTTATTACATGTTATATAAAAGGTTTAATGTGTTTGCTCTTCATTTTGTCGACTTTTAATTTCGTTTTTAAAAGACTCTATCATAAATAAATACAATTTAGCATTGTTTATTATACACTACAATCATTAATTATTTCTAATGAGTAATCATATTTTTGTATTTTATATTTGTACGGCAGCTACAATGAACTATGTTACCTTTTGTTTTGACATACTTTCCAAAGGACAACTTTGCGCAGGCGCTATTGTCTGCCTATGTTTAATGGAGTTGCATAACGCATTGTTATAAAACCACTTGCACCTAGTACCTTGATCACCAATCACTTTTTTGATAAAGAGCACATAATGGTACCTGTTTATGGCTGTAGTGGGTAGTGGGAGTATGCATATCAGAAGTCTAGTTGCACAAGCTATAAATGTACCGAACGTTCTTTAAAATAAAGAGAAGTAGTTCGAACGTCCAGGTATAAAGTAAAAGTTTAACAGAAGAATCAAGAAACCGTAGTATTTTTATATGAAATAAATCAATAGTTTAAGCTAAAGTTACGTGTAGCTAGTAGTCACAAAAGCTCTCTTTAGGCCCGCCACATACTACATACGGAATTCCGTTTCGGAATTCCAAACGAACGAACGGGTCGGCCACACACTTACGGAATCCCGTTTTGACGGAGAACAAAAGAGTTTTATGGTTGAACTCATAAAATTCTCCTGCTAAAAACGTAGGATATGTTGAATCAAAAGCAAACTGTAATTACTTAAATGATTTTGAAATTATCGCCACATTTTATGATATACCAAAATCAAACTACTGACAAGTTGATTGATTCTCCTTTTAGTGCCCGTTAAAATCCAACCGGAAGTGGGCCTCTACCACTGCAATGTAGACAAGAAGAAATAGTGGCGTATTTTAATATATAGCGTCCTGAGCCTAGGTTTGCCCTTGCTCCATATTGCACACATCGAACGCGAAGCGGGATTTTATTCGTGGTAGAGCCACGCTGCTGTTACATTATGGTTGTAGCACGAGTGGGTCGGCTTGACCGGAGAAGGACCACGCTCTCACGGAATACCAGCGTGAAACAGCAGCTTAATACTGTCGTGTTTCGTATGGTGAGTGTAGAGATCCGGAGACCCTTTTTAACTGGAAACGAGGCATCCCCTTTTAATCCTCAGGGTGACAACGTATTTGCATTTTGATCCTTAGTTGAGGATTAATGTGGATTTCTATGGGCCACAGCATCCAATTACCATCAGGTGGACTGTGTGCTTGTTTGTCACCCAACGCTATCAAAAAATCGCGACCCACTCAACTTAAATCACTTGCACCAGCTTCATATTGAACTTATAAAAAAGTACATCAATAGCAAAGGGGAGCATTCAATTAATACTTCTACCGTAGTTATAAGTTATTTATTTCGATTCGACATTATTAAAAAAAGGTAATTGAAAATAAATTCACCTGGACGTCAGTTAGTCGGTATGGATGTGAACATATCTTTCGAAAAACTTATCACTTTCATTTTCTTTATTAGCTTTAGATTTTAGTCCTTAGAAAGTCTTTTGATTTCGACCGTCGCGTTCATCAATATTTGATTTTTTTTTTTGTAACAAAATAGGAATCGCCAGTACAAGCAGTCAAAAAAGTTCGTGTTTTTTATTAAACAGAAAACCATTTTTTGTAGCTTTAAAAGAAAAACGTGTTTCGGTAATTGTGATTTGTTGTTTAAGTTATTTATTTCTCAAAAGAATTAAAATTCACATACACGAGAAATGTTTTATAACACTAACATAATTTAAAATTATGTTAAATTAAAATAAATTATTAATTTTATATAAAACGGCACGACACACAAACAAACTGATAACAAAATAAAAATACAGCAATTTTTTTAATAATCTAAACAAATAATGTTACAAAGTTATAATAATGTAAATGTAAATAAAATAGTCCATAGTAAAATAATAAAAGAAGACTAAAAGATTAAAATAAACATTCATGACGGTTACTTTACTCTATTTGGTTCGATCGCCGGTGCAAAATTATTCATATACCTACCGACTTTAAGCTTCACTTAATCAAATTTACGTTGAACAATAATTAATAAAACTAAATTGATTATTCAAAACATTACATGAGCGTTCGAGGTATGCACTTTTGGATTTTCTAAATTTTCTTAGCTAGTAGCTTAGTAAGTATATTTTGTTTTAATTTCATTAATTTTAGTTAAGAATTGTAGTTTGTAATTATTAGATCGTACATTAAAGTAACTATATTTAACAGTAATCTGTGATTAACGTTTGTATAAAATTTCGATTCGCCCATTCTATCTAACGATAACATTTTTTTAAATATGTAAATAAAGTACATAATACATATCATTGATTTTCGTATAGACTAACTAGAAAACGACGCATTACATGACTCACCCTGTACTGACGGGGGCTGGGGCGGTGTAGCAGGAGGGCGGCTGGGGGTTGTAGGCGTCGGGCCGCTGTCTCGCTTCTTGCCATTTCCTGAAACAGACAGAAATATCGTATTATATGACTAAGCCAAACAAAACATAGATAATATTTATATAATTTTAATACAGTGCTTTCCGGGTTTCCTTGGGGGGGGGGCTATGTTCAGCAGTGGACTTGTGGATGGCTGTAACTATTATTACGATGATGACGAGAAAGAAAGAAATAAAGAGCATATGGATTGTTTTAAATAAAAACTTAAGTGATATTTGCTATGCATATTTACAAGTCCACTGCTGAATATATTCCTCCATCAAGGAACGCCACAAAGGACGGTCGTAAACCACTTTCATCAATCGACTTCCTGCATATCTTGCCAGGCAATAACTCCATCTAGTGGGGGCCGTCCTATATTTCGCTAACCGGTACGAGGTCGCCACTCCAGAACCTTTCTCCCCCATCGGAAGTCGTTTATTCGACCTATCAGATCGGCCTAATACCATTTTAAATCCGTATGCAGAAATAATATGAACTGAATTAAAGCATCGCATAAGCAGAACCACATTCTCATGAATAGTCTTCTATTCTATCAAATACTACTTATGAATATTATGAAGTAGCACAGTGTATTGTAAGACCATCTTAAAGGGTAAAATAAAGGTCGATTTTCTTGACGCATCGTTTGATAATGACGACATTGTAATAGCTTTACATAATTTATTATTCATTCAATCGTACGTAAACGACATTATGAATACCAATAAATCGTTTACTATCTGAATTGTATTACAACAATAATATAGCTACAGCGTGGTAGAGCCAAGCTGCAGCTATATTATTGTTGTAGCACGAAAGGGTCGGCTCAACCGGGGAAGGACCACGCTCTCACAGAATACCAGCGTAAAATAGCAGATTGATGCTGCTGTGTTTCGTTTAGTAAGTGTAGAGAACCGGAGACTGATTTTACAGGAAACGAGGCATTCCATCTTAGTCCTCAGGTGTCACATCAGGCAACGCATCTGCACTTTGATTCTTTTTCTTATCGAGGTTAAATGTTGTTGTCTATGGGCCACAGCATCCACTTACCATCAGGTGGACTGTGTGCTCGTTTGTCACCCTAATTCTATAAAATAAATAAGTAAAATGAAATAAATAAATACACTCTGAATTGCCGTACTCTTGAACATTTGTGTTTAGACGGCATGATAGCGCAGTAGCTAAGCATGGGCTTCTTCGCTGCGGGCTGTGGATTCGAATACCGTACGAAAGAAGTGTAGGTATGTATGTAGGTAGTTATAATTGTTACGGGTCTTGATGTTGTTTTGTCTGTGTGTTATTTTGTATCTTCTAGCATACTTCTGATCTTAAAGAATAGCCGCTTAGGTCATGACTTGCGTGTCGACGGCGCGCAAATCGTCATGTGCGAAATCAGAAATCGTAATTTTTTACGATTTCTGTGTGTGCGAATGATCAGGCGTGATTATAAATTCTAGCTGCTTTTAAGGGCAGATTCGAACGAATTTAATGCCTTTATGTTTCTACTTACACTTACTAATATAGTGATTTTTCCTGTACAGTTGATAGATTCTGATTATTGTAAAGTTGTATCTGTGATCGACCATGCTGTTTCGGAATTGGTTGTATTGTATACCAATTACAAATAGACCTGACATTTTATCAGATTCTTCCCCCATTCACGTTTATGTATCTATACTATATAATAATATGTATGTAAAGAACCACGTTATCACGGATTTTTATATATTTCGATTATAGATGAAGGCGTTTATGGATCACAACATCCACCTACTAACAGGTCGACTGTGTGCTCGTTTGTACTTCCAAAAACAAAAATTAATAACAGTCTATCTACAATATTTGTCATGGGCATTATTATCGTCACCATTTTCACAAATTATTTACTACTGGATGAAATCAGTTTTTAAGAATTTTATCTTATTAACTTATTTGACCTATATTCCAACTGTTTCGAGAATTTACAGTAGTAATAGTCACGGTGGAACTGAGATACTTGACGTTCCGCGCTGTTAAGTTTTTTTTATAGGCTAAGGGTGACATACGAGCACACAATCCACCTGATGGTAAGTGGCTGCTGTGGATCATAGGCTTCCACGTCTATCCTCGATTAAGATTGAAAATGTAGACCCGTTGTTTCCCTGGAGAACTAAGTTTCTAGTAAAAAGGGTGTCTGGTAGAACTCAAAACGTCATCGTCAAATCATTAAATTAATTACCAATCCTTTACTTTGATTTTTGCGAAACCCGCGATAATCGAATTATCTTATTTCAAATCCGATATATAATGATATTGATAATTCACATTTTATAACGAGGCACGAATTATCCGCCCATAACGTAATCTATGTGAGAAGCGAGTTATCCGCAAAACCTAAACACTTATTATGTTGTTACATTCACATAAAACAAAATGGAGCATCAGATCGTGGGAAGATTTCATTGCATAATCTAGTACCCACACAGTAATCGAAAAGTCCATGCAAAGCGACTTTTTCGTCGTCATTACCATGCAAAGATATACATCACGAACATCTCTTAACAGAGTCACGCGCAACATAGACAACTACATCTAAAGCTAATATAAAAAGTCAGTTCTAATTAAAGTAAATAAGGTCTTTGAAAACACGTGACTTTTAATATACATTCTTACGTTATAAGGTTTCTTCTTGCAGGTGCATGCACAGGCACGTGCGTTTTGTTCTATCGCCAGTTTAAATTCCTTCTTTATATGTCGCGAGCTAAGAATAACTTAACAGCGTAAACAGAAAGCGAATAAAAACTGAAGTTAACGTGTATTGTGAGCGGTAAGTACGGTCCGATACGTTGCTTTCTAGTTTTATCTTGGATTCAATTTAATGATGAACACAAAAATGATGTGGGTTCTGATATTAATGACACTCAAGATATTAAGTTAAAATGAGAAAGTTATAAGCTAGACCCATGTTTCTTTTTATATGAGTTTATCGATTTCCTGAAAAGGGATATACTGATTTAAATTATTCTTTTATAAGTTATACTTCAGAAAGTCTCTCTTCAGTCTTTTTTTATAGGATAGGGTGACAAACGAGCACACAGTCCACCTGATGGTAATTTTTTCTGCAAGAAACAGTGTAAAATATCTAGAAAATTCGGTTAAATTAAGCTAAATATGGCTAAATCCTACACAATCATATTGATTGCGGCTATTCGAACTCTACAAATTATGTAAAAATAATTAGGTAGGCTATTTTTTTTTTAATTAAACCCAACGCAATAAAGCACATATTAACGTATTCACGCTAAATAAAAATACGCATTTTGAAAAATTTCACGTGAGATTTGGGGTGCGGGAGGGTGAGGTGGTCAAGCTATATCTCACAAAATCTCACCAGGATGAGGGGTCCGTAGAAAACTCGTCAAAATCGCCTCACGTAATTAATGTACGTCCCTTAATGGGTACCTATAATCCCTCTGGTTTCGGATAGGTCATAATATTCATTTATAGACTATTGGCAAACTTGTTACCTGCTAGAAATGGTAACTGCTATAATTTTTCAAAAATTGTTAAATGAGTTTGGTACTAAACAATAATTTTAGAGCCGATGTCAAGTAGCGTCACAAATTTATATGAATACCCTAAAAATTTTGTCACTTTCATGTAATATGAAATTAAAACAATAAAATTTTATGTGCTTATTCATGCTCTTACCTTGAAGTCCACCAGCTACATAGTTGGTCCGTAAATACCACAGAACAGGTGTGGTTGATAGTTAAGACGACATGTAACCGTGATACCTTTGTACATATGTATTACACATGTGGTTAGAGCAACATTTACTTTTTCTTTTCATAATCACAATTTTATCGTAATTTTTAAAATATATGAAAATATCGGAAATATGGCCCCAGAAGCTAGGATATTTGTTGTTTTTATTCAGCTATATTTTATTTTATGTGTTCCACTAGGTATAAACTTTTGTATTTTATTTATATTTATAATCTAATATTTTGTGTCTAAATCTAAGGGTCTTTGCTCGAGACCACTTCTTTACGGACGTTCTAAAAACACTTAGACCGTGAACAAATCGGTCGTGAATAGCAAATTTACGAGGGTGCATTGAAAAGTACTCGGCCTAACACAGATCCATTCAATTCTAAAAATCAAATCTACCCACATTATTTAGTTCAGTTCAGACTAGTTCATTGTGTGAAGTTCGAAACGTGTGCGATAATTAGTTGTGATTTTATAAATTTATTAACAAAGTAATCGGACATAATTTCCGCGAACGGAGCAAATCGAGCAGCGTGCCGTCATTAAGTACCTCCATAAGAAGGGGCTATCATCAAAAGCCATCCATGATGACATGGTCAGTACATTAGGCGATTGTGCTCTGTCATATTCATCCGTCAAAAAATGGATAGCAGAATTTAAGCGTGGTAGAGAGAGTGTGAAAGATGAACCCCGCTCTGGAAGGCCTTCGACGTCAACTACTGACGAAAATATTAAAAAAGTACTTGATTTAATAATGGGAGACCGCAGATTAAAAATTAGAGAGATAGCCGAGATTATAGGCATCTCTTATGAATGAACTCAAAACATCATTGTCAACGAGTTGGGTTTCCACAAGGTGTCTGCAAGGTGGGTTCCGCGACTGCTTTCAGTTGAACAAAAAAAGGACGCGATTGACTACTTCACGCGACTGTTTGGAGTTATTTGAAGCCATTGCAGATGATTTTTTGAATCGTTTTGTTACTATGGACGAAACATGGGTTCATTACTGTACACCGGAAACAAAACAACAATCAAAACAGTGGAGAAGACCTGGTTCACCACCCCCTAAAAAGGCTAAGTCGATTTTGTCGGCAAATAAGGTGATGGCTTCAGTATTCTGGGACTCGAAAGGTGTGATTATGATTGATTATCTTGAAAGGGGTCAGACTATAAACTCTGATTACTACTGCACCTTACTACGTCGTTTACGAGAGGAAATAAAAGAAAAACGTCGAGGAATGCTCAGAATAAAAGTCCTGTTTCATCAAGATAACGCCCGTGTTCACACGTCAGTACAGTCAATGGCTGAAATTCACAACTGTGGCTTTGAACTGTTACCGCATCCGCCGTATTCACCTGATCTGGCACCATCAGAATTCTTTCTGTTCCCTAACCTAAAAAAGCACTTGGGAGGTCAAAGATTTTCGACAAACGACGAGGTCAAAGCAGCTGTAGACGCATATTTTGACTCTAAGGAAGAATCATTTTTTTTCAACAGTCTAAATGCTTGGAAGGGGAGGTGGCAAAAGTGTATTGAACTTGATGGTGATTATGTAGAAAAATAAAAATATAACTGATTTAGTATGTGTTTATTTTCTTGGTTAGGCCGAGTACTTTTCAATCCACCCTCACCCTCTTTTTTTCTAACTTGACCAGTGAGTTTACCGAAAACGAGGGAAATACTCAAAGAGAAATATAATGTCATTTAAACACAGAATAGAGCTACGATCAGCTATTAGTTGTCAAGTTTGAGGAATAATATTTTTTTCCCAGTTTGCAAAAATCCTTTACGCGGTATATTTCTAGACTAACTGCAATCTATATAGGTATTAATATCAAATATAAATATAGAAAATGTATTTCTTTACATTTGTATATTGTAAATAAAAATCAAAATAAACCGAATCCTCTAAAATTTTACATTTAATAGGTACATATATTTCCATTCTTACTAATATAGTCACTTATTGTATTATCAAACTACAAATTTTATTTTATTATTTCAATTTAATGTCACCCAAAATAAATAAACAGCAAACAAAATGTTAATTTTAAACTTAACTTCGTGTAGTAACGACCATTAAGGAAAGCTATTTATATGCCTACTAACATAAAAATATGCCCGTGCAACTTTTAGCTGCTTCCTAAAAATGTTATTTTAGTAAGTTACGGGTATGTATTTCCTTTCGGCGTGTTATTTATTTCTCAGTGTAATAAACATTCTTCCTAGAAGTCCTATTCCTCTTTTATTTGTATCCACTATTTGTTTTATATCAAACAATGGAAAGTCGCAAGAGGAGAACAACTGAGCGCTAGCTTAGAATGTCAAGGAACATTACATGGTATTGTATCTGTACCTGTTATTTAATTATGTTATGTAGAGGACAAAGTGTGTAAGCAACCTTCGTAAATGACTAAAAGTAAAGTTACAGCCTATATACGTCCCACTGCTGGGCACAGGCCACTTCTCATTTCTGAGAGGGTTTTATGGCAAGGAATAATCCGTCGCGCTGCCCCAATGCGTGTTGGCGAACTTCACATGTCTTCCAAATATGTTTTTCTTATTTCTCAGAGATGCAGGTTTCCTCACGATGTTTTCCTTCACCGCCGAGCACGTGATAAATCAGCACTTAAAATTGCAATTAACAATGTCATTGGTGCCGGCGGGGATTGAACCCGGTTTGTTCGCGTATTGTGAAATTTACAGCGAGCGCTAACCATCTGAGCTACCACGGCTCATTCGTCCATCGTAAATGACTACTCGATAAAAATACTCACCTCTAGCAAAAGATCCAAATCTCTCCCTATTCACGGCTAACTTGTATTTCTTATCATTCGGAACAGGAAGTTTTGATGGATATTTTTCAGAATTAGCTCTGTAAAGCTTCTCTTTGGATCCGTGTGCTCCCATCTTCTATTTCTTCAATTTTTAAGACATTTTACTATGATTATACCATTCTTGATCATTTAATCACTTACATTAACACTTTGCAGTGGATGCATCCGTTAAACACCAATATTTTTTCACTGTTAAAAACATTTTGTTTGCTGATATAATTAACAAAAAACATTAAGATAAAATACGTTCTTTCATTTCATTAGGTGTCATCATACGAGAGTGAATGTAAGATTTAACAAGAAGTTAAACAAGAGTGTTAAATAAATGAAGCTAAACAAAACTAAATTTTTGCTCTATTAAAATTGTATTATTAATTTTGTAGTGTATATTAAATTACTATAATAACTTTAAAAAAAATTTAAGTACGTATATTAAGGTCAAATTCGAAGTCAAAGATATTTGATTTAGTTTAGGCTCCTATGAACATCTAAATTTACAACTGGTTCGAAAAGTGAGACTTCTACGGAGGGGAACCGGTAAGCAACTCTAGGGTCAAGATATACCTATTTCTGTGTTTCCATTTCACATATTATATAATAAATTAATGATGAATTTTGGTGTTAAAATTTATTTTATTTTACTAACAGATTACTAATGCTGGAAGAATTTTATTTCCAAACCTCCTTATACTTAAAAGTAGTTGACAATTTTGACGATCGTTCTAAAACGAAGTTTTTACGTGGTAGAGCCATGCTGCAGTTATATTAGTAGTATAGTTGTAGCACGAATGGGTCGGCTCGACCGGGGAAGGACCACGCTCTCACAGAATACCAGCGTGAAATAGTAGCTTAATGCTGCTGTATTTCGTATGGTGAGTGCAGAGAACCGGAGACCCTTTTTACTGGAAACGAGGCATTCCATCTTAGTCCTCACGGGTGACAACGCATCTGCATTTTGATTCGTAATCGAGGATAGATGTAGATGTCTATGGGCCATGGGCCACAGCAACCACTTACCATCAGGTGGACTGTGTGCTCGTTTGTCACCCTATCCTATAAAAAAAAAAAAAAAAAAAAAAAAACTTCCACTTCTAAAGATGCTGATTTACCTGCAGTGGTATATTTATAGGTTGCTACTTTTATTTTACGAGATTTTTATGAAGCATTAAAATGGAATCATTTCACGTGTACGTGTTCTTTAACATTTTAGTTGCAGCAAAGCACTGAAACTTTGTTTGAAATAGAACGGTCGTTTAAGTACCAACCACGTGCTAACTTTACTGTGGTCAACAAAGCGTCATACGCTGATATAATTATTGCAACGCTTTAATCTATTTCTGTAGTCGACTCATGCACGCTCCAGCTTAAGATGATCTCCAACTCCGCACTCATTTCTATTCTAAGACAACAAATACAACTACGACAATTGAAATCCCTGAGTTCTGCGCAAAATGGCGATTTCGTACATTAAGCGTTGTGTTAAAAAGGGATCAATTTCTGAGAAAAAGCGCTTTGTTATTTAAAGTAAAAGCGTATCGTATAAATTAATTTCACCTTTGTCTTATTATTACAATTTATGTGGTTTAAATACTTCCTTTTTATAGTAGCAAAAAAAATTTAAAAGCAAATAATTTTATACAAAAGCCAAATTTCGTGAACGCACTACACGGCAAACGTCCAGATACCATCCACAACATCTGGATGCTTGGCGGTCCACCACTGTACGTTTCAAAAGGAGTTTTCTTCCACGTACAACCTCTCTGTGGAATAATTTACCACCGGTGATTTTTCCGGACCGATACGACCTGGGGACCTTCAAGAAAAGAGCTTACTCCTTTCTAAAGGGCCGGCAACGCACCTGCAATTCCCCTGGTGTTGCGGTTGATCATGGGCGGCGGTAGTCACTTAACATCAGGTGAGCCACATGCTCGTTTGCCCCCTCCTCTATAAAAAAAAAAATGCAAAATGTAACTTCTTACACAAGGATGTTTATCGTTATATTAAATCAATAGATCTTCATTTAAATTGTTTGTCATTTAAAATGGGTGACATCTGTTTTAAAGTAACACCCCAGAATATTTAAAACACATTTTATTAGCGTTATCTTAACACATTTCTATTACTCTTCGGGTTTTAATTATGATGAATGGGCTTTTTAAAGAACCCGTGAGAAATGTGTGCTTTTAATTTTTAATGAAATAAAACTTCTTTAGGCGTGAGGGTAACTCAGATTTATTCGGTCGGAAGTAACGATTTACTCAAGTTCCGCATGGTTCCGTTAATTTTGGATCCGTTGATGGTAGCACGCATGGATCGGCTAGACCAGGGAAGTCCCTCTCTCACTCTCGCAGAATACCAGCATAAATTAGCAGCTTAATGTTGCTGTTTTTCGAGTGGTGAGTGTAGAGGACTTGAGACCCTTTTTACTGGAAACGAGGCATTGCATCTTAGGGTGTTAACGCATCTGCATTTTGATTGATAGTCGAAAACAGATGTAGATGTTTAGTTCCACAACATCCACTTATCATCAGGTGGACTGTGTGCTCGTAGTATGGTATGATGTGTTATACGTATACGTATACGAACATTTTCAGATTTTATAAATTATACTTAAATTCATTTCTATTCTATTTTGCTACACATATATTCTATTTGTTCAACACAAATAATAAATAATATTTTACTGATAAACATTTTATTTATAAGTAAATAATTATTAATTTTATTAATTATAACCAAAAAATATAATTTAGAAAGACATGCGAAGTTCTCCAACAAGCGTTGGGGCAGCGCAGCGGCCTGTGCCCAGCCGTGGAACGTATATAGTCTCTAACTTTAACTTTAATTATTACAAATCAATCCGAAATAATAAAATAATAATTACATTTAATAAAATAAATACATATCAAGAATAAACATTATAATAAAATATTACAATAAAAAATTATAAGTTTATACGTAGGTACTCAGTTTTTTGAAATAAAGAGAAAATTAATAAACTGACCAAATTGCAGGATTCAAACTCGCGCACTCAACCGTGGTGGCCCTACACCCTCACTTAACTTTACGATCTCCGTGGCGAAATTACCGATTATATTAATCCAGAAAGTCAAGTTTGTGAAAACAGGGAGAAAACAAATTTTCCCAGATAAGAGACCTAGCTAGAGATGGATTTCTCGCCCACGAGAACCCCGTTTTCGGTTAACGTAACGTTTTTGGATAACGTACCATAGGTAAATTTTACCGAAAACATTAGAGAATGAACACCATTAAAAATTGGTACGCTCTTCATTGTAGTTCTAGATTATAAGCAGAATTTATAATTTTTATCAAAAGTATTCGATATTCTACCTTGATTGAAAACTGTGTCAGGAATGTTATTTTACTAGAGTTTCAATTCAATTTTAAGACGTATTTTGTCGTTAACAGAAAACGTAAAAGTATTTGAAGTTCTGTCAATTTCAAAAATAGATTCTAGGTATGGTAGGCAGCAAATAGGATTGCCGTGTCGCCTGACGATCTAATTTCCTAACGGAGATAGACTGAATCCTACGTGCACTGCGGATGCAGAACAGTGAAATTCCGTAGCAAGAGGTAGGCAAGTACTTTATATTAATAAAAAAAAATGTTATATACTTAGATGAAGAGCCCTCGGTGTAAATTTCACAATACACGAGCAAACCAGGTACGATTCCCGCTGGTACCAATGAAATTGTTAGTTACAATTTTAAGCGCTGGTTTACCACGTCCTCGGCGTTGAAGTAAAACATCGTGAGGAAACCTACACGTCCGAGAAATAAGAAAAACAAATCGAAGACATTTGAATTTTGCCAACAGGCATTGGGCCAGCGCGGTAGACAAAAAAGACAAACGAAAAAGAAACAAAAAAAAATAAAAATCTCAGAAATGAGCGGACGCCTGTGTCCAGGAGTGGGACGTATATAGGCTGCAACTTTAACTACTCAGATTACATTGTAACATACCACAATCCAGGACTTTAACTATCAATAAATTATCGTCAAATAGTGCTGTTTATTATAACGCCGTTCGAGTTACGTTTAACGGCTTTTACCGGTTTACATTCATTATATATATTACCATTTAACTGGGACACAAGGCAGTGAATTCTTAATTAATAGATGAATACGTGTAGTAAATTTTGTAACCCTTATATTAATGTTTGTTGTTAGAACCTATAATGTCAACAAAATTAAAAAAGCACTAAGTTAATGTGCTAAAAATAAAGTTATAAATTGTTATTTGATACAGACTATCGGTTTTGTTAACACGCCGTGAACCTTTTTACATTATTACATGGAGCAGAGTATGGGAGGGCTTCCACCAAAAATATTACACGTCTCCATTATTTCATTAAACAGGAAAGAGTTTATCGAAGTTTTTATTTAGTGAATAAGTAATGATAGGTTATGAATATGTCACATACGCAACACGTAAGGCGTTATTTTATGCGTGCCAAGGAAAAGCAGAACCACTTTTTATACCTTTTAATTATAATAAGAGAAAGGTAATGTGTCGATATTCTCTTTCAATTTAGGTTATCGATTTTTTAAATATGATTAAATAAAATGGAACCCTATTTTATTATCTCAAAACATTGTTAATACAACGTTATAATTTTACATAAATTTATAAAATATTATAAAATATAATAAAACTATAATCAGTTGTTATGTTATTTCAGATGTTATTTTACGTTATTTGTAGTTTTTTTAGTTTTAGATATTTTTAACTCCCGGGGTATTGTAAGTTTGACCGCTATGTGTGTGTGTGTGCCTGTCTGTGACACCGTAGCTCTTTGAACCGATGTGGGTGCGGTTTTTTTTTTTATTTAACCCTAGATCACTAACCTTATTTTACAACGCTTATTACTAACCTTCGTCGTTTCGACTACGCCGTATAAAAGGGAGGCTTCTAAGGGTTTATGGAATAAAATATTTATATGTGTTATACTTATTTATTACAATATCATTTGTTAACATGTTTATAAGTTTTTTATTTACTAAAATCACATTTTAATTACTTTGACAGTCTTTTAATTGAGACCAGAGTTTT